ACAGATTAGTCAAGCAAGAGAGTGACACAGTCATACTCATGGAATCATACCTTACAATGTCCCAGACATCACCATCATCATCCCTGGATATGTCCTGTATCACCAGTAGGGCAGACCCAGCAGAGGTGGTGGCACAGTGATATACAGTCAGCAGGGAGTTGCTCTGGGAGTCCTCAACATTGACTCTTGACCCCATGAAGTCTCATGGCTTCAGATTGAACATGGGCAAGGAAACCTCCTACTGATTATCACATACCGTCCTCCCTTGGCTGATGAATCAGTACTTCTCCATGTTGACCAACACATTGAGGAAGCACTGAGGATGGCAAGAGCACAAAATGTACTCTGGGTAGGGTATTTCTGTGTCCACCACCAGGAGTGGCTCAGCAGCAGTACTACTGATTGAGCTGATCAGGTCCTAAAGGACAAAGCTGCTAGACTGGGTCTACGGCAGTTGGTGAGGGAACCAACAAGAGCGAAAAACAGACTCGGCCTCATCCTCACCAATCTGCCATCTGCAGATGCTTCTGTCATTGAGTTCTTTTGTCCATGTTTGTATCAAGGCTGTAAGGAGGTCAGGAGCTGAGTGGCCCTGGCAGGAACCCAAACTAAGCAGTAAGTATCAGTAAGAGTGACCAGCGCAAAATCCTTGTGGAGACTATGTCCCGCTTTCAGATTGAGAATAATCTCCATTGTTTTGTGTAGCACTATGACCATGCTAAATGGGACAGTTTTCGAACAGATTTAGCAACTCAAGACTGGACATCCATGAGGCGCTGTAGGCCACCAACAGCAGTAGAATTTACTTCAGCACAATCTGTAACCTCATTGCCTGGCATATCCCCCACTCAACCATTACCATCAAGCCGGGGTGAGGGAGGGAACTCTGGTTCGGTGGAGAGTGCAGGAGGGCATGCCAGGAGCAGCACCAGGCATACCTAAAGGTTAGGTGTCAACCTGGTGAAGCCACCAAACAGGACTACCCACGTGCCAAACAGCATAAGCAGCAAGTGATAGGCAGAGCTAAGCAATCCCACAACCAATGGATAAGTTCTAGCTCCGCAGTCCTGTCACATCCAGTTGTGAATCGTGGTGGACAATTAAACAATTCACTAGAGGAAGTGGCTCTACAAATATCCCCATCCTCAATGATAGAAGAGCCCAGCACATCAGTGCAAAACATAAGGCTGAAGCTTTCATTGCAATCTTCAGCCAGAAGTGCCAAGTGGATAATCCATCACGGCCTCCTCCAGTGGTTCCCACCATTACAGATACCAGTCTTCAGCCAATTCGATTCATTCTACATGATATTAATAAATGGCTGGAGGCACTGGACACTGTAAAGGCTATACGCCTTGACAACATTGCGGCAATAGTACTGAAGATTTGTGCTTCAGAACTTGCCGCTTCCTTAGCCAACACTGGCATCTACCCAACAATGTGGAAAATTGCCCAAGTATGTCCTGTACATAAAAGGCAGGTTAAAGCCAACCCAGCCAATTACCACCTTGTCAGTCTACCCTTGATCATTAGTAAAGTGATGAAGGTGTCATCAACAGTGCTATCAAGCAGCACCCGCTCAGCAATAACCTGCACAGTGCTGTTTAGTTTTGGTTCCGCCAGGGCCACTCAACTCCTGACCTCATTACAGCCTTGGTTCAAACATGGGCAAATGAGCTAAATTCCAGAGGTGGGGTGAGGATGACAGCCCTTGACATCAAGGCTGCATTCGATCGAGTGTGGCTTCAGGGAGCCCTAGCAAAACTGGAATCAATGGCTGTCAGGGGACAAACTCTCCAGTGGTTTTAGTCAAACAGGAAGGTGGTTGTGGTTATTGGAGGTCAGTCGTTTCAGTTCCAGGACATCTCTGCAGGAGTTCCTCAGAGGAGTGTCCTAGGCCTAATCATCTTCAGCTGCTTCATCAATGACCTTCCCTCCATCATAAAGTCAGAAATGGGGATGTTTGCTGATGATTGCATAATGATTCCTCAGACACTGAGCAGTCCAAGTCCAAATGCAACACAATATGGAAAATATCCAGGCTTGGGCTGACAAGTGGCAAGTAACATTCGTGCCACACAAATGCCAGGCTATGACCATCACCAATAAGAGACACTCTAACCACCGCCCCTTGACATTAAACATCCTGGGAGTTATCAACGATCAGAAACTGAGCTGGACTCACCACATGAACACAGTGGTTACAACAGCAGGTCAGAGGCTAGGAATACTCCAGCGAGTAACTCACCTCCTGACTTGCCAGAGCCTGTCCAGCATCTACAAGGCACAAGTCAGGAGTGTGATGGAATACTTCCCACTTGCCTGGATGAGTACAGCCCCAACAACACTCAAGAAGCTTGACATCATCCAGGACAAAGTAGCCTGCACCCTCCACCACCGACATTCAGTAGCAGCAGTGTGTACCATCTACAAGATGCACTGCAAAAATTCACCAAAGATCCTCAGACAGCAGCTTCCAGACCCACGACCATTTCCAAATAGAAGGAAAAGGGCAGCAGATATTTGGGAACACCACCACCTTCAAGTTACCCTCACACCCACTCACCATCCTGACTTGGAAATATATCACCTTTGCTTCACTGTCATTGGTTCAAAATTCTGGAATTCCCTTCTAATGGCATTATGGGTTAACCCACAGCGGGTGGACTGCAGCAGCTCAAGAAGGCAGCTCACCACCACCTTCTCAAGGGCAATGAGAGATGGGCAATAAATACTGGCCAGCCAGTGACACCCACGTTCCACAAAATGAATTTTTAAAAAATCCTTAGACCTGATGAGTTCAGTATTCGTGGTGTCTGACCCCGAACCCTTTTAAGCCAAACTCAGAGGTTTAGACAAGACAACACTTGATCCTTTTGCTCTCAGTCATTTTGTTGACAGTTCCAGTTCACTGGAAAGACATTTGGCTTCTGATGTTTATAATCTTACCCCAGGATAGTAAATACTTTTGTCATAGGGCTGTCTGAGCCAAGTTACTTCTGGACAAGTCTGAGTAAAGACACTGCCCTTTTTCTAGCTCACTACCAGCTATTTATGTTTATTCCTTCCTAGGTCTTGGCTGTCGCTGGCTGGGTGAGCATTCATGACTCTTCTCTCATTGCCCTTGAGAAGGTGGTGAGCTGTCTTCTTGAACTGGTACGGTCCTTTTTGCTATAAGGAGATAAAATGTGTCAATAGGGAGAAAGTGCCAAGAATCTGACCTAGTGATACTGAAGGAACAACAATATATTTCCAAGTCAGGATGGTGAGCACCTTGAAGAGGAACCTGTGGTGGCGGTGTTCCCTTGTATATGCTGCCCTTGTCCTTCAGATAGTACTGGTCATGTGTTTGGAAGGTATTGTCTAAGCAGCATTGGAGAATTTCTGAGGAGCACTTTGTAGATGGTACACACATATGCTACTGAGCGTCAGTGTTGGAGAGACTGTGGATATGTTGCCAATTAGCTTCGATGTCTCAAGCTTCTTGAATGTTGTTGGAGCTGCACTCATCCAGGCTAGTAGGCAGTATTTCCATCACACTCCTGAACTGTGCTTTGTAGATGTTGATAGGCATTAGGGAGTCAAGAAGTGAGTTAGTCGCTGGAAGATTCCTAGCCTCTGATGTGCCCTTGCAGCCACAGTAGTTAGATGACTAGTCCAGTTCAGATTCCAGTCAGTGGTAATCCCACGATGTTGATACTGGGGATTTCAGTGGTGGTAGTGTCACTGAATGTCAAGGAGCGATGGTTAGATTCTCTCTCACCCAAGACAGCCCTTGTGTGGTGTGAATGTTACTTGCGACTTGACAACTGAATGTTATTCAGATCTTAGTGCATTTTAGCATGGGCTGCTTAAGTATCTGATGAGTTGGAATTGGTGCTGGACGCTGTGCAGTGAACAACCCCACTTCTGACCTTATCATGAAGGGAAGATCATTGATGAAGCAACTGAACATGGTTGGGTGAAGACACCACCTTGAGGAACTCCTGAGATGTCCTGGAGCCTAGGTGTCTGACCTCCACCACCTAAACCGTCTTCCTTTGTGTCAGATATGATTCCAACAAGTAGAATGTTTCCACTGATTTCCATTCCACGCTCCTTCAAGCAGACTTGGTTAAATGTGATGTCAAGGTCTCTCTCACCTCACCTCTGGAACACAATTCTTTTGGCCATGTTTGAACCAAAACTATGATGAGATCAGGAGCTCAGTGCCCTGACGGATTCCAAGCTGAGCATCACTGAGCAACTTATTGTGAAGCAAATGCTGCTTGATAGTACTATTGATCACATGTTCTGTACTTTACTGATGATCAGAGTAGACTAATGAGACAGTAGTTGATTTGTCCTGCCTCATCTTTTGGACTGATGTGCTACACTCACCCATTATTGAAAATGGGGATATTTGTGGAGCCTCCTCCTTGAGTGAGTTGTTTAATTGTCCACCACCATTTACAACCTGATATGGCAGACGGCAGCACTTAGATCTGATTGGTGGTTGTGGGATTGCTTAGCTCTGTCTTATCACTTGCTGCTTATTCTGTTGGGCATGCAAGTAGCCCTACTTTGTAGCTTGACCTGGCTGACACCTCATTTTTTAGGTATGCCTGGTGTGGTTCCTGGCATGCCCTCCTGCAGTCTTGCACACAAAATAACACTTTTCACTGTATCTCAGTATACGTGACAATAACCAATCAAATCAAGTCAATGAACCAGGGCTCCCTAGGTTTGATGGTAATGGTTGAGTGTGCGATCTGCTGGGCCATGAAGGTACAGATTATGTTGAATTGTGATTCTGCTAATGCTGATGGCCTATATTGCCTCATGGAATCCCAGTGTTGCACTGCTAGATCTGTTTGATGTCTGTCCCATTTAGCACAGTGACAGTGCCACACAACACATCAAAATCTGATTCCAAAATCATCAAATCGCTGTGAGAAAACCACCCTCCCCACATTGCTAACTTATTCTCATATCCCCAAAGATAAGTGTCAGGATCTTACTCCCAGAAGTTGAGTCTTCCTCCATGATATGAAATATTCAGCACCTGCGCAAAACTTCCATGAATTATCGCACCTCGGATTATCACTGCCACAAACCCGATGATCATAACTGTCAACTGGAACACATCAGTCCACACCACAGCTTTCAGACCACCCTAAAAACACAAAAGGCATCATGTTACAAAAATGACGCAAAGCTAGTGTTATGGATCAGACCAGACCCCCTTAAAATATTTTAAGAAGGTAGTCCGTGCGCTAAGATTTTCTTATTTTAAAGGTAGACGTGAAGTCCGTGTTCTAGATGTGATGCAACTGGTCAAACTACTCAACGTTAAACAAAATACAACTTTTTTTAACACAAGAATTAAAATACAATCAAAAGAAAGAGAAAATTTGATTAACTTAACCATTAGAAAACTTAATCTAATAACAGAGACTGTATTCATTACTAATTAACTGTTGCAACATCCCATAAACACACCCCTTGGCAAAAAGGCAAATTCAGTCAGAGATTCTAACATGCAGTTCTCCAATTCCAGAGGAAAGAAAAATTGAGAGAAATTCCAGGGAAAATAGCTGCGAGAAATCATTCACTGAAATATTCTGAGACCACATACAGCTTCTGATGCTACAGCGAAAAGAAACTAGAAAGTCTGGTCTGTGAGAGCTGGCCACACCCATTCAGGCTGTTAAAAAAACCCAAGGCTAAGGTTCTGGTAGACTGCTCGTCACCTCTGCCTTACAACCTCTCTTCAAAAAAAAAACCCCAGGACAAAATAATCTTTTGAAGTGACAGCATTAACACATACCTACAAAGATATGAGGCTAGATCACAAAAACTGAGTTCTGGGTTAGGTTTTAAGGAGTGTTCATAATGAGAAGTGACAGGTACAGGGACAGAGGTGTTTAGGATGGGAATTCCAGAGTTGCAACTTAAGGCATGGGCAATGGGGGAAGAGATTAATTTTGGAAGTGCGCCGGGGCCAGATTTAGAGGAATGCACGTATCTCAGAGAGGTGTTTGGCTGGAGGAGATCACAGAAAATTAGCGGGATTGACTGATATTTAAAATGGAGTGCTGGAGCTATGTGCTTCAGGGAACTAAACAAAGGAAGACGAAGAGATGTTTGTTGCTTTTGCACAAATGTTATCAGCCTCCAGGAATTGTTCTTGCTTTGCTGCAAAAGAAGAAACTGGCTAATTGATGAGTATCTGCTAAGTGATTAAGGGGTATTCTATTCCTAAGAACATAAAGACATAAGAAACAGGGGTAGGCGATTTGACTCTTCAACCATGCCCTACCATTCATCAAGATCATGTCTGAAACAAACACAGAGAATGCTGGAGAAACTCAGCAGGTGTGACAGCATCTGTGGACAGAGAAACAGAGTTGAAGTTTTGAGTCTGGTACGATTCTTTCAGACCAGAGAAACAGAAAAATAGAGCAAGATGAGGTGAAGGGGACTAAAAAATTCATGAAACAGTGAAAGAAAAAGGAGGATAAAAAGAAGCAAATACAAGAGGAGCAGAAAGGCTGATAATGTAGTTCTTTTGTTCCTGTGCATAGTCATCTCACAGTTTTGGCAAGGAAAATAGAAGCAATGAATATTATTCAAATGGAGGAAGAATGCAGAAAGCTACACACCAGAGGAATTTGGGAGTCCTCTTCAATGAATCATGAAAAGCTAATATTCGAGTTCAGTGGTTAATAGGGAAGGCAAACAGAATATCTGACTTTATTTAAAAGGGAATGTGGTACAAATGTAAGGAGGTGTTGGCAAAACTATATGAGATAATAGTCAAGCCAGAACTGGAATACTATGAACTGTTTTGAGCGCCACATCTAAGGAAAGATAATTTGGCAATAGATGCAGTCCAGGGAAGATTCATTTGGCTGATATCTTATATAGAGGGACTGTCATATGTGGAGATGTTGAGTTGGCTGCATACTTATTATAATTCAGAAGAATGAGAAGCAACCTTATTAAAACTTACAAGATCCTTGAAGGGTTTGACAGGGTAGATGTGGAGAAGTTGTTTCCCCTTGTAGGAGAGTCTAAGAACAGAAGGCATAATCTCAGCGTAAGGACTCACACATCCAAGACAGAAATGAGGAGGAATTTCTTCTGTCAGAGGGTATGAATTTTTGGTATTCTTTACCAGAAATTGTCAAGGCTGGGTTAAGTATATTCAAGGCTGAGATAGACAGATGTTTAATTATCAAGGGAATCAAAAGTTAAGGGGAAAAGACAGGAAAGTGGAGTTGAGGATCATCAGATCAGCCTTGATCTCACTGAATGGCACAACAGATTCCATGGGCTGAATGGTCTATTTTTGCTCCTACATCCATGGTCTTATATATGATTGAAAATTAATCTTGGGATTAACTATGACACCAAAGTTGCAAACAGTCTGGAGCAGCTTCAGTAAGTTGCCACACAAAGAGATCAGTTGGGTATAAGGAATAAGTTTGTTTGTGTCAGGAACAAAGAAAATATCTTCGGTTGCCTCAGTGTGCAATTGTTTCTGTTCATCCATTTTTGGATATTGGATAGACAGTCTGAAAACTTAGAGATGAAGAATTCGAGAGGGCTGGTGATGTTGAAGTGAATGTCATCAGTGAATTTGCCGAAACTGACATCTCGATCTTGGATGATATCGCTGTTGATGAATAATGGAAGATGTTATGCATAAATTCTTAGGAGACGCTAGAGGTAATGGGGCAGGAATAGGAAAAGAAGCCAATACAAATAATAGTGTTTCTAATCAGGCAGAAAAGCTAAAGAAAAATGAGAAGCTTTGTTACAATGATAGGGGTGGAAACCTGATTACAGGGACTCAAATGGAGTTGTTGGAAAAATGGGCAGGCAATTGGGAGACAACAGATCATTCAAGGACTTTAGAGAGGAAAGGGAGGTTGGAAATGGCATGTTAGTTTGCGGGGATGCAGGGATCAGGAATTTTATACAGTAGGGATAATGGTAGATTTGGAGGAATCTATAATGCCAAACCTACATGAATCCATCTGTACCAATTCACCTGCTTCAGGATCCCTGTCTCCCACACTTCGATTTACACATTTTCTGGACATCTATCTTGATGCAAAAGTTTTTACAAATACAGCCAAACGTATTTCTTTCCACACAAATATAAATAGAACCAGATTAAACTTACCAGAGTACAGTATAAGGTGCAGACAAGACCAGTTGCAATGAGTACACCCCAGAGATCAAATCCAGTTACTGATAAAAGTAAGAGTTATTCCAACTTAGTAGAAAAATGAATTTTCTTTTATACTGTAATACTGTAACTTATAAAACTGTAAATTACCTTAGAAATTACATTTAGTTCCAAAAGAAGGAATGAATTAATGGTTATGCCAGAGACAGAGAGAATGGTAGAGGGCCTTTAAATAAATAAATGAAGATGAGTGGACTGACAAGAAAACAATATCGTTTCCCTGTTTTTGTCTTTATATTAGTGATACAGAGAGATGGATGGTAACAGAATGATAGAGAGAGTTGAGAGAAATATTGAAAGCAAAGTTAAAACATCCTGGACAGAAAGGCACAAGACCTGAATGAGACAGAATTTTACTCCATTGGGGAGTGTCAATTGCTCGTGTTATTACAAAGAAATATCACTTTGCAATCCAATTTGGATATGATTAACAATTGACTCTCAGAATCCCTACAGTGCAGAAAGAGGCCATTCAGCCCATCAAGTCTGTACCAACTGGGTGAAGAGCATCCCACCCAGACCCAGCCCTCCACCCTATTCCTGTAACCCCACATCTATCTTGGCTAATTCATCTGACCTGCACATCCTTGGACAGTATTAGATAATTTAGCATGGCCAATCCATCTAAACAGCACATCTTTGGACTGTGGGAGGAAACCAGAGCACCGAGCGGAAATTCACGCAAACACGGGGAGAAACTCCACAGTCACCTGGGGCTGGAATCAAACCAGGGTCCCTGGTATTGTGAGGCAGCAGTGCTAACCAATGAGTCACCATGGCACGCAAAATAATTTACACAAAGATAACAAGCAAAATAATTTGGCATCACTTATGCCAATTTTACCATATCAGCATATTGAAATTTCCCATCCTAAGTCTTTGCTTCCTAATGCACACCAGGCACTGGAGACTACAGCAACCACCTAACACTGCATCCTCCCACAGGAAAAATGACGCACAATACCAGGCAATGGGAGATGCTGGCAAGAAGGAACCAACATCTAGCATTTCAGACTTTATGAAATGAATATCAATCATGAGATTCAACGTTCTGGAATGGACAACTGGTCACTGTCACTTGATGGGATTTGTTGAGGCTTTATGCTTTCCCTTATAAATTCTTCAGTCCCTTCTCTAACTAGATCTTTTTTAAATAATCTGTTCAGACATGGTGTTACATATCTCTGGGGTAGGTGGGACTTGAACCCAGGCCCCCGGTCAAAGGGAGAGATGCTGCTACTACACCACAAGAACTCCTCAGTCTAGCCTCTAAATAGATATTTTCTAATCAACCTGTTCACAACCGTTATGACACACCTCTGGAGCAGACAGGAATTGAACCGAGGCTTCCTGGTCCACAAAAAGACACATTGCCATTGCATCACAGCAGCACGTCAGTGCCTCCAATAACTAGATACTTTCCCTATTAACCTGTTCAGAAATATTATTACACACATCTGGAACGGGTGGGACTTGAACCCAAGCCTCCTATACCATAAAAGCCCCTTCCTACTCTAACTACCATATTCCTCATAAGTGAAAGTAGGTGATTAAGATAGATCACAGGGGGATAAGATGTTTCTTCTCAGAGCAACTATTTTTGGGGCTTGACTGTACAGTTATTGGTTAATAGATGTGTAAGGAATGTTAACTTGTACATACCCTGATTCAATGCTAATGCTGGAGCATAAATGACAATCCCAGTGTACAGCACCTGTTAAAAGATCATTAACCAATAATCTTGAGCAGAACCATGTCTGATATTAAATGAATAACTTCACCCGGTTGATGAAATTAGTGAGGTCTCTCAAGCTTACTCTTCGGGCTGAGTGCTGGAGGTAAGGGAACTGAATAAAAAAAATAACATTTTTCTCTTTAGTTTCTCATTGTAAGAGGTTAATTCAAATTATCTGTCTCTTGGTATCTTAAGCAAATGATTGGTCCTTGTGAATGAACCTAGACAGTACCAACAGGATATTAGTCAGAGACAAGAAGCTTTGGAACCTTAGTTGGTTTTTTTCCTCACTAACGAATGACATAACACTCAAATATCTTGGAAATATTTAGACTTTAAGTGCTGTGGAAGACTTGATACTCACAGTTTGGGTGATGAAGAAACAGGTCCCAATGTACTGAACTATTTTGTTGTACCTAATTTGTAAATACTGGAGAGAAAAAAACAGTTAGTGTCGAGTAACTTATGTTGACAATGGTTCCTCATGTAATCCAGAAAAGTTAAAGCCATTTGGTTATTTTTTAACTCTTACATATTGTAGCCATAAGATAGAACAAAATCTGGAGCAGATTTCATTCCTCTGTCAAATACAACAAAGTACTGATTCATGTTACTGAAGAGTCTTCCCTTCTAACCTACTCACTAATGGGTGAGCTTGCTCCTGGCTTTACTGTTTGCCAGCCTAATGGAGAAAGCAGAGACTGACTGATGACGGTGCTGCAGACTCACACGTATCTCACATCAAACACTGCACTCACCATTCTGTCAGGAAGTAAAGAATCTCAATTCACAGGAGAAGGAGGCTTAATCATGAAGGCCAGGAAGGAGCAGAAAACTACCACCCTGAAGAATATCCTCTTTGACAATTGTGGTTATATTGAGTGACCATGTCAGGTTGCTGTTGTTATTCAGGGGAAAGAGAAATAAAATCTTTACACCGGCTGAATCAATGGAATCATAGGAATCAATGACCAGCTCTGTAAATCTGTGAGCTCTTCTTTGGAAAATTCTGAAATAGGGCCCATGTCTGGCTTGAAAGAAAGTCCCAGCAGACAGGTTGAGGGCTGTGGTGATCTTCTCTGCCATGGGCAGTGTCATTGCCGATGGGCACCTTGTGGTTTTCTATATGTTAGCCCATGTAACATATACCACAGAGTAGGTTCATATTGAGTCATGTATCTGGAAGTTTGTTAACAAATAACCACACACACTCTGACATCTCAGAATTACATATGTAGATAACTTGCATGTTTACTTAGATTACTGTTGTATTGTATAGTTGATTAGTTGGTGAACTAACTAGCAGTCTGGCTGACTGCTTGCTTAACTGCTGAGCGATTGAATGAACAGAGAGTAAGAAGGAGACCTCATATACGAGGGCAGCACATGCATGACGTCTTAAAGGTATACTGCCTTCTTGAGATTTACCAAATAATACAACAAACACCATCTTAAACCTGAGTTACAATAGACAGCAGACAGCAAAATAATATAACCAACTAGGTACTGACCCAGTTTGTTGGACAGTTTTCCTTGGAACTAGGCTGTTTTAAGTGTATTCAACTGTACAGCACAACTAATTTCATTCCATTTTCCTTTTTTTGGCTACTCTTTTGTAAAGTTATTAAATTGACAGAATCCTGGTATATTGTGATCAACTTTCTACATTTTTATTTCCAAATAATTATTTTTACTATGTTCTGAGGTATCCAAAAATCATCAAATACACACAGAAGAAAACTAATACCTATTAGCAGCAATTAAGAGATTCTTAACCTTTTTGTTCTTTTAAAAATTTTACACATGGATCCATGTTTTGCATCCACTTCAGATTAAAGGCTACATTCACAAATCAATTCAGTTCTCCAAGTAGCCTTTTCTACTCTGAAGTCATAAGTAATCGTTTCTAGTTATATCTCGTCTTTTGACATGAAATGAATTGTTTCTGGGTTCTGACCTCAATTAGAAATGACATGCAGTGGATTTCAGTGGGTGCATAGGGATGTATGCTTTCAAAAGTGCCAAAAATGAATCATTTCTTCGCTATAATTACTATTTACCACAGCTAAGAAGAAGGTACCATGCACACTGATGGGATTAAAGGCAGGTAAAACCCTGGGGCTTGATGGCCTACACCCTAGGGTATTGAAGGAGGTGGCAGCAGAGATTGTGGATGATATTAGTTATGATATTGCAAAATTTCCTGGATTCTGGAAAGGTACCAGTGGATTGGAAACATGCTAATGTGACACCCTTATTCAAAAAAGGAGATAGGCAAGATGTGGGAAACTACAGACCAGATAGTTTGACCTCTTAAGTGGGGAAGTTGCTGGAGTCAACCATAAAAAGGAGATAATTGAACACTTGGAAAAACAAAGCTCAATTCACCAGTGTCAGAACGGTTTCATGAAGGGCAAGTTGTGCTTGACAAACTTGCTGGAGTTCTCAGAGAATGTTGCCAGCAAAATAGCTAATGGGGATACAGTGCACTTGGTATATCTGAACTTCCAGAAGGCATTTGACAAGATGCAGCATAAAAGCTTGGTCCAGAAGGTTAGATTCCAGAAGTTTAAGGGTAGAGCACTGGCTTGGATAGAGGGATAGTTGACCAACAGAAAGCAGAGGGTCAGGATAAATGGGTCCTTCTCTGGATGGCAAACTGTAACTAATGGGGAGCCGCATGGCTCAGTTCTCAGACCTTAACAATTTAGAATCTATATGAACAATCTGCAAGCAGGGACAGAGTGTAACATAGCAAAATTCATGGATGATTCTAAAATAGGTGGAAAGCAGGTTGTGATGAGGAGATAAAGAGTTTACAAATGGATATTTACAGCCTAGGAAAATGGCCAGAATCCAGCAGATGGAGTTTAATGTGAATGAGTATGAGGCGTCCATTTTGGATAGAAAAAATAAAGGCAAATTATTTTTTAAATGGGAAGCAGATTCAAAGTGCATCAGTACAGAGGGATCTGGACATCTTTGTGCATGAATCACAGAAAGTAGGTACGTAGGTGCAGCATATAATATGAAAAGCAAATGGAATTCTGGCATTTATTGCAAAAGGACTGGATTATGAAAGTAGTGTTGTTACAATTATATACAGTGTTCATAAGACGACACCTGGAGTATTGTGTCCAGGAAGGTGGCACTGGAGGCAGTTCAGAGTAGGTTCACCAGATTGATTCCAGGGAAGAAAAGGCTGTCGAATGAGGAGCAATTGAATAGCTTGGGCTTGTACTCACTGGGGTTCAGAATAATTGAGGGGGGGGTGGAATTCTGATTAAGGTATATAAAATGCTAAATGGAATTGATAAGGTGCAAGTTAAACAGATGATTCCCCCTGTGTGACAGTTTCAAACAGGAGGTCATAGATGTAGAGTAAGAGGAGGTTGGTTCAAAACTGAGATGAGGAGAAACTACTTCTCTCAGAGAGTTGTGAATCTGTGGAGCTCAATGTTCCAGAATGCAGTGGAGGAAGAATCATTCAACAGATTCAAAAAAGATAGATTTCTGATGAAAAGCGCTACAAAGGGCTATGGGGAACAGGCAGGAAAGTGGAACTGAGCCCAGGATAAGATCAGTCATGATCATATTAAATGGCGGAGTGGGGTCAAAGGGCTAAATTGCTTACTCCCGTTCCTATTCCTATGTTCCTATAAGACATCAGACACAACAGTAAAAGAGGGATAAGATGTGAGTCATCAGTTTTTAAAAGGTTTGTTTTAGGGAGAAGGTTTAAAAAATTGTATGAAGACTGGGTGAAGGTAGTCTAGCTTGAAGAAATCTTTAAATACAATAGAGGTCAGTCAGGAATGACTCTTGACATAGAAGAAGATAAGGAAATGCTGCCCCATCCACACTTCAAACAGCTCTGATGTAGAGTGTTCTAGACTCAAAATGACAACTTGCTCTCTCTCCATAGATGCTGCCTGACGTGCTGTGATTTCCAGCATTTTTTGTTTTCAGTACAGATTCCAGCATCTTCAGTAATTTACTCCTACACTGTAGTCAAATATGGATTGGGTTCAATAATGGATCATGTCTGGAAATGTATTTCATATTATGAAGGGTTAGAAGGAGTAATAGATTAGTAACAGTACAGTTATTGATTGCGTAAAGTAATTAACGCTTTGAATCAATTTCATTTAGTTAAAAGTTAAAATTTCAGTCACATTGTAAACATAAATGGAAACAACAGAAGTACAAAGGAAGGGCAGTAGTATAGGAATTGCACAGGTTGGAGTAGTAGGTGCCAGCGTCCCAAAGAACCAAAGGATGCTCTCTCATTACAGACAGATCACTGGTGGTAAGTTTACCTTGAGGGTCACTACATCTTAATTGGGAGGTGAGGTCAAGGATGCAGGATGTCATGGTAACCTCAGCCAGTGTGGGAATTGAAGGAGCTGCAATATTAGTAAAATAGAGCTGGCATTATGTAAAATACAGACAATACCTGTGAACACCCATGGGAAAACAGCAGATAATGTAATATGTTTGGAGTTGTCTCTCACTGATGACAGAAATGCCCTATGATCCAGTCAGACTATGGCGACTTTGCCATTTTTGATGATATGTATAAAGCTTGTAGCCTCTTGTGACGCTTTGATAGTGGCTCTACCCTGGTCTGGGATGTCCAGGTTCAAGTCATACCTGCTCCAGAGGTGTGTAATAACATCTCTGAATGGCTTGATTAAGAATAGGTTAAATTTTTTTAAAAATCTTGGAGGTGTTTGTAACATGCCAGAGTTTAGTTTTACATTTCACAGTGATAAGACTGGCACTCCTGGCATATGCATGAAATAAATAAACATAACCTGACTTTGAGTCCTGTCATTAATTTAATGAGCTGTCTGATAACAATGAATTGGAGACAGTTGAGGTTTGCTTACAGTAACGATTTGGTGTAGTAATAGATTTGGTACAGGAATCAATTGTGTACTATAATTAATTCAATACAACAGTGGATTGGTTTCCATAATGGATTTGTTACAGTAATATATCAGGTAATGAAATTGCATACAGTATTGAATTTAGTACAGTAATTGATTGTTTGCAGTTTGTGTAGCAATAAATTATGAATAATAGACTGTGTACAGTAAAGGATTGTGGCATAATAATGGATTAAGTTCAATAATGAATCAGGTACAGTAACAAAAATTTGAGTATAATAATGGATTGTTTGCAGTAAAGTATTGTGTACAGAAATAGATCAAGTACAGTAATAGATTGGACATTGTAATATAAAGGCACAGTACTGCAGATGCTGGAAATCTGAAATAAAAACACAAAATGGCGGAGGACCTAAGCAGGTCTTGCATCCCTTGTGGAGATAAAAACAGAGTCAATATTGTATTGTTGGCCTTTCACGAGAAATAGTCAATGTTCGAAATGTAGTGGGTTTTAAGTAGGTCAAATTGCACATGTACT